GTCGATGAGAGAGAAACATCGACCAGCTGCCTCTTGCACACCTTCTACCAGGGATGTGCCCGCAACCAATGTACATGCCCTTGACCAGAATCGAACCTAGGACCTTTCAGTCCGCGGACCGACGCTCTACCACTGAGCCAAACGGGTTTCGGCAGAACTTTGAAGTTTTAAAGCGTGATTTATTGGACAATATGAGATTATAAAGATTATAGCAAGTATTGCTAAAAATTGCTAGGAAGAGTACAATAGAAAAATTGAGGAAGAAAAAATTGACAGATTAAATTATACTCAAAACTTATCTTAGAAAATGCTAGAAAACTTAAGAACACAAAAGCATATATTTCATTAGCTGGCAGAGATGATAATATCACTTGTCTTATGGTCTCAGGAAAACTCCATTAGACTCAGAAGGATGAGAAAAAGGTAAATAATGTTAATTTTAATTATGAAATTAGTTATTGCTTCATAGACCAGGCCCTCAAGGGGTGTTAGGCACTATAAGCCATGTTTTACAAACTGCTATTCTAAATTATTTCTTTCATCCCTAGGTTTTTACTGCTGTCTCTGTGCTATGACACTGTCATTTGTATCCCCAGCCAGACTATACCAAATGTTGGACTTATATATCCAATGCCTGCTTCCTTAGCTTGGTGCTCTCTTACTGATTTGGCCTTAGCACATGCTATTTGTTCTGTCCCGAATTTTCTTGTTTCTTTCGTTAACCCAGAAAACTACTAGATTGTGAGCTTCTTGGGGGCAGGGACTGGGTACCTTATACCCAAGGTTTTAGCAGAATGCCTATCACTACACTGCTCAGTAAATGTTGTTGAATTAAATTGGATCAAGGAAGAATTCTAGCCTCATGAAAAATAAACTTAGTTTATCCCAGGGTTAATGTTTTCTGCTTTTTGTCTGATCTCATTCATTCTATATTGATTTGTATTAGTTTCAGAGAAAAGGATCTCATAACCTCCATATTCAAGACAGCTAACTAACTCCTATATATTAAGTTACCCAACAGTTCCTTTTGCTTTGCCTAGGGAGTAATGTATTCTGAAAGGAAGGTATTTGGGGCTAAAATTTGACGTCGAAAATTTTAGTTTTCTCTCTGACTACTGAGAATATCACAAAACACTTATCATCTGCTTCTCTCTTTTAAATCACCTGATTTTGCCCTAGCTTGTTTGGCTCAGTGGATAGTCGGCCTGGGGACTTAAAGGTCCTGGGTTCAATTCCAGCGAACAGCACATGCCTCCACTAGGGGACATGTAGGAGGCAGCCAATCAATGATTCTTTCTCATCATTGATGTTTCTATCTACCTCTCCCTCACCCTTCCTCTCTGAAATCAATCAATATATATTTAAAGATAAATAAAATCAGCTGATTTTCACCAGCACTTGTGGTGGAACAAGTGTATACTACATTTATTTTAGTTTCTCTGAAGGAAGATATTTTTGAAGAATACTTAATGATACAGAAAAATACATGAGGCTGAAAGAGTAAAATAAATATTGCAGTCTTTGAGAAACATATAATGGACTTATATATCTACTAGAGGCCCTCCAGGAGGGGTGTTCCTCAGCCAAGCCTGTGCCCTCTCACAGTCCGGGAGCCCTCGGAAGATGTCCAGCTGGTGGGCAGTGGGCCTAAGCCGGCAGTCAGATGTCCTTAGCATTGCCGCAGAGGTGGAGCCTCTCCACCACCACCACTGCACTTGCCAGCTGTGAGCCCAGCTCAGAGCTTCTGGCTGAGCAGCACTCTCCCAGTGAGAGCGCACTGACCACCAGGGCAGCTCCTGCATTGAGTGTCTGCCCCCTGGTGGTCAGTGAGCATCATAGCTACCGGTCATTCCACTGTTTGGTTGATTTGCATAATAGCTTCTATTATATAGGATAATATAAAACCCTAAGTGACTGGTCAAATGTTTGACTGGTTGCTATGATGCGCATTGACCACCAGGGGACAGACATTCAATGCAGGCCCACAGGCCCCTGGCTGAAACCGGCAGTCCAACATTTCCTGAGGGGTCCCGGATTGTGAGAGGGTGCAGGCCAGGCTGAGGAACCCTACCGGTGCATGAATGCACCAGGCATCTAGTCCATATATATATAAAATAAAGATGGAATGTGCAAATTGACCATCACTCCACAGCAAAGATGGTGCCGCCCACAGCCAGTAAGGAGGGAATATGCAAATTGACGCAACAAAGATGGTGGCAGCTAAGGCAGAGCGGGATGCCTACTATGGTGGGGTTGGGGGGTAGTGGAGGGAGCTACAGGAGGGCGGCAGGGCTGGAGCAAAGGCGGAAAGGTCGCTCCGGCCAGAGCGAAGGCCTATTCTTGCACGAATCTTCATGCATCGGGCTCTAGTATATATATAAAACCCTAAACAACCAGTCGATTGTTTGGCTTGTCGATTGTTTGACCAGTCGCTATGATGTGCACTGACCATTAGGGTGCAGATGCTTAATGCAGGAGCTGCCGCCTGGTGGTCAGTGCATTCCCACAGTGGGAGCACCTCTCAGCTGACCAACAGGCGCCAGTTGGTGGGCTCTCAGCTGGCAAGTGCAGCTGTGGCAGTGCGAACCTCTCCTGCCTCCATGGCAGTGCTGCCAAGCTGCGGTGGTGGCAGCAGGCGTAGCGGCTTGGGGATGAGTGGAAACGGTGCAGCGCCTGGCCCGGGCTCAGGCTCTGCCTTGCACACTATTACATCGCTTGGGGGATGTCAAACTGCTGTTGCTGACAGTCCCAACATTTCCCAAGGGATCCTGGATTAAGGGAGGGCATAGGCTGAGAGTCCCCACCAGAGCATGGATTCATGCACCGGGCCTCTAGTATTTCTGTAAGTACCTATTTGAAAAGACTGGAAAGCAGTATAATAATGGTTCTTCGTTAGTAGTGTAATTGTGAGAAATTGAGTTAAGAATACTTTAAAAATAATGTTTTTTGGATACATCCCATGTTTTAGGCACTTTATTAAATTCTTCGTGTGCGTTTTCTTAGGGAACTCTCCCATGAATCCTGTGATACAGGTACTACTTATTTTTCAGATGAAATTGAGGCCTAAGAAAGATTAACTTATCTAGGTTTATACCACCAATAAATAGAAGAGTTAAAACCTTTATATTTTTTGTTTTTGTTGTTAATCTTCACCGTAGGATCTTTTCCCATTGATTTTTAAAAAAATATATTTTATTGATTTTTTACAGAGAGGAAGGGAGAAAGATAGAGAGCTAGAAACGTCGATGAGAGAGAAACATCAACCAGCTGCCTCTCGCACACCCCCCACCGGGGATGTGCCCGCAACCAAGGTACATGCCCTTGACCGGAATCGAACCCAGGACCTTTGAGTCCGCAGACCGACGCTCTACCACTGAGCCAAACTGGTTTCGGCTCCCATTGATTTTTAGAAAGAGTGGAAGGGGTGGGGGGGGGGGGAGAGAGAGAGAGGGAGGGAGAGAGAGAGAGAGAAAGAAATAGCAATGTGAGAGAGACATGTCAATTGTTTGCCTCCCACACAAGCCCCAAACAGGCCTGGGGATCAAGACTGCACCAAGGTACGTGCATATGTGTGACACACACACACAGAGCACAGGGTGTGTGACACACACACGTAGAGCACAGGGTGTGTGACACACACACGCAGAGCACAGGGTGTGTGGAGCATTGGATCAAGCGAAAGAAGAGACTGCAGCAATTTAATATGTAAGGCTACTAAGAACACAGAAGGAGTGAATAAAATTGTTCCTCTCACTGAAGAAAACTGGGAACGTTTTAAAGATGTAGCTCTCTTGCCGGGACTGGTTTGGCTCAATGGATAGAGTGTCGGCTTGGGGACTGAAGGGTCCCGGGTTCGATTCCGGTCAAGGGCATGTACCTTGGTTGCGGGCAGATCCCTAGTAGGGGGTGTGCAAGAGACAGCTGATCGATGTCTTTCTCTCATCGATGTTTCTAGCTCTCTATCTCCCTTCCTCTCTGTACAAAATCAATAAAATATATTTAAAAAAAAATAAAGATGTACCTCTTGCCAGGACCGGTTTGGCTCAGTGGATAGAGCGTCGGCCTGCGGACTGAAAGGTCCCGGGTTCATTCCGGTCAAGGGCATGTACCTTGGTTGCGGCACATCCCCAGTTGGGGGTATGCAAGAGGCAGCCGATCAATGTTTTTCTCTCATCAACGTTTCTAACTTTCTGTCCTTCTCAATTCCTCTCTGTGTAAAATCAATAAAATATATTAAAAAAAAAAAAAACAGATGTAGCTCTTTTCATCTTTTTAAAATAATTTAAACTTTTTACTATTCTGTCAACTAATCTGGATAATCCTGTTCCTTTCAGCCATAAAACTTATTACAGTCAGGTGTAATATAAGGAATTTCTTTTGCTGGCTCTGTCCTATCGTTGGCATTTATAGTCTGCCCCCCATCCTGGGAAATCCCTCAGTGCTAGACAGGCAGCTGTCATCCTAATCAGTGTGGCTATTACACCTGGAGGTGGGAATGTCAGAGAGGAAACCGATGGGAATGTGAAGGCCTGGAGTCTGCAGAGAAGGTTTCTTCCTTTGGAAGAATGTTCACTACAGCTAAGAGACTAGTAGCATCAGTAACCCAGTAAGTGTGCTTAGTAGTGACTTGGAGGTTAGTATGAAATGAATGCCTGTTTGTTGTCCTGCATTCTTCAGATAAGTTGGGAATAAGACGGAGGCCATAATGATTTTGAGCCCGTCTTGATCACAGAAGGACATTTTACCTGCAGTGGGTTTTAGTTCCAACGACACTCTTTTTCCTGGTCTGGGTAACCTTATTTTAGCAAGTGGAGGTATGAACATTTTAAGTTTCAGATTTTACTTGCCTTTATGCAACCACTTTAAACATTATTTGTCTATATCTATAGTTATTACTTAGAGTAAAACTTCCTGTAACATACTGGCAGACTAATTTTGGATTTTACTTTGCCTTGCTGTCTTTCTCCCCTTAGTCTTGTTCTTCATTTCTTATCTTCCAGAGAGGTGTGGGAAATGGAACTGGATAGACTCAAGAATCAGGATGGTGAAATAAATCAGAACATTATGGAAGAGACAGAACGGGCCTGGAAGGCAGAGGTGAGAAGAGTTGCTATATTGAAGGCTTTGATTTTTGGCTTCCAGGTGATTTATCCTTTTGATAATAGTATTAACCACTAAGCCATATAAGTATTACACCATATAGCCACTAAGTATTGATTTTGTTAACTAAGGTCTGCATATGTAAAGTTAATTAAGTATGTGTGTGTGTTTTCCTAGGTCTTATCACTAGAGAGTCGGAAAGAACTGCTGGTGTTGAAGCTAGAAGAAGCTGAAAAAGAGGCAGAGCTGCACCTTACTTACCTCAAGTAGGTATTGTCCCATTCTAGAATGTCTGTGGTCCTGCAGTGTTGTGGGTTTTGTTTTGTTTTCTTTTCTTTTCTTTTCTTTAGGGTTGAAACCCTAGGCCAGCTAGTCTGGCACTTACTGTATCATCACAGGAATTTCAAGGTCATCTCTGTCTGTGCAGTAGTAATTGTTCTGTGATTTCTCTTCCTGTATTCTAACTTCTGCATTCTCTAATTCTTCCTCTCTGCAGTCTTACCATTTTGTGTTTTCTATTGTTATTTCCAGTTATTTCTGTTGTGTTATTTCACATTTTCTTTTATGCTATGGAAGCAAATCAAATATCCTTGGAGACTCGTTTCTTATGTCGTCATTTCTCTTCTTGCCATGGAATCTGGAGGACCCTGTGGCCTTTTCAGGCAGATAAGACCCCTGGCTCAGTGGTTGGCTCTCTCTCTCCAATACTTGGCTTAAAAGATGCTGAGATAAAGTGAGGCACACGACCTAGATCCTTGGCCTTCTCTTACATCTGGTTCGACCTCTCCTCTCCAGGTCCATTGGCCATTCCTTTTAGGTATCTCAGAGCGCTGAGGGTTAGGTTTTCTTTAATTCTGTAAATTCCTGTTGGTTTCTTGAAAGGTCAACTCCCCCAACACTAGACACAGTTCGTTCCAAACAGGAGTGGGAGACAAGACTGAACGGAGTTCGGATGATGAAAAAGAACGTCCGGGTAAGTGCAGTGATGGGGATCATTGAGTTTGAGTTAGACTTTGCTTAAACACTCTGATGATGGGCAGGGAACTTGGGCTTTACCACTGAGGCTTATCTCCCATTCCCTCTGTGTCCTTCAGACTGGATGTGGGTGCTGTCTTTCCAGGGAGGCTCACTCAGCTCGGATCATGCCTTCCTTTTCTCCTTCCTAGGACCAGTTTAACAGTCACATCCAGCTGGTGCGGAACGGGGCCAAGCTGAGCAGCCTTCCTCAGATCCCTACTCCCACTCTGCCTCCGCCCCCGTCCGAGGTAAGAATGCAGGTTTTGGTAGTCAGGCTTTCTGTGACAAAACCAGAGTCCTTCACTTGTTTTTTTTTTTAAGAAGATACTGTTTTGTTTCTTTTTATATATATATTTTATTGATTTTTTACAGAGAGGAAGGGACAGGGATAAAGAGCTGGAAACATCGATGAGAGAGAATCATTGATTAGCTGCCTCCTGCACACCCCCTACCAGGGATGTGCCCACAACCAATGTACATGCCCTCTGACCAGAATCAAACCTGGGACCCTTCAGTCTGCAGACTGACGCTCTATCCACTGAGCCAAACCAGTTTTGGCTGCTTTTAATATTATTACTGGTTATTGTTGGTTTTATTTGGTGTAAGAGTTGCTCATTGATTTCTTCCTTTCTCTTGCGTCCTCCACCTCTTCCCCTCTGCAGACAGACTTCATGCTTCAGGTGTTTCAGCCCAATCCCTCTTTGGTTCCTCGGATGCCCTTCTCCATTGGGCAGGTCACAATGCCCATGGTTATGCCCAGTGCAGATCCCCGTTCCTTGTCTTTCCCAATCCTGAACCCTGCCCTTTCCCAGCCCAACCAGCCTTCCCCACCCCTTCCTGGCTCCCATGGGAGAAATAGCCCTGGCTTGGGTTCCCTTGTTGGCTCCCATGGTCCACACATGCCCCCTGCCGCCTCCATCCCGCCTCCCCCAGGCTTGGGCGGTGTTAAGGCTTCTACTGAAACTCCCCGGCCCCAACCAGTAGACAAACTAGAGAAGATCCTGGAAAAACTGCTGGCTCGGTTCCCACAATGCAATAAGTAAGTGTCTTAAGGACTAATTTTTAAGAAATTGTCAGAGGGGCTACAGGAGAGGTTTTATGGATGTTCCTCATGAGTATACGTAAAATATTTCCCTCTTTTTTAGGGCCCAAATGACCAACATTCTTCAGCAAATCAAGACGGCCCGTACCACCATGGCAGGCCTGACCATGGAGGAACTGATCCAGTTGGTAGCTGCACGACTGGCAGAACGTGAGCGAGTGGCAGCAAGCACTCAGGTAAGACAAGGTCCTGGGGGGAGAACGCAGACCTGCTGAGAGGTTGAGGAAAAGGCAGTTTTCAGAAAAACTTGGGGAGGGAAGCATTGCTGCAGCCAGGAGTGCCTAGTCTGCTTTCTTCCTCTGCTGGACTGGGAGCTAAGTAATTTCCTTTGGTTCCATGCCCTGTGACTCAGACTCTTTCCTTCCTCTCACAATGTTTCTGCCTGCAGCCACTCGGTCGGATCCGGGCCTTGTTCCCTGCTCCATTGGCCCAAATCAATACCCCAGTGTTCTTGCCTTCTGCACAAGTGTCATATCCTGGAAGGTCTTCACATGTAAGACTCATTTTCTTCGAAAAGTAGGATGGGAAGGTGGGGAGTGATGTCAGCAGGAGGGGCAGGTTTACAGATGGAGTGTAGGAGGAAACCGTTATCTCATCAGCCGGGTTGTTGGCAGCCCCAACTGGGAAAATGTAAGTACTTTTGGCAAGAATCTGTATTTGAACTTTTACTTCTTTGGTGTAAAATCTTTTTACTGAATGGAAACAACAGGTGGAGTCATGGGCATGAAAGGCAAGGAGACCCAGAGCTTTCTTATTGTCTTACCTTTGGCCATCTCTCCTCTGTTCTGCAGGCTCCAGCCACCTGTAAGCTGTGTCTCATGTGCCAGAAGCTGGTCCAGCCCAGTGAGCTGCATCCAATGGCATGTTCCCACGTGTTGCATAAGGAGGTGGGTGATACACTCCTTCCCCATTTCCAACTCTTTATTTACTGACAACTGAGAATTTCTCTTGCACATTTTAGTGCTGATGCTCAGCATTAATATCTAAACATATCGCCCTGGCCAGTGTGTTAATTGGTTAGAGCCTCAGTTCATGGCTTCAACCCCCATTCCCCCTGGGGTCTGGGTGTGTAGAAATATCCTCACGTGGGGGTTAACAAAACCAAACCAAAACATCTAAACATAAGATTTTTAGTAACTTGTGTCTTAAACATCAGCAGAATTCAGAATACTGCAGCTGGGATCTTCCAGCTCCTTTACCCTGATCCCTTAGGACAGTGTTTCCCAAACTTCTCTCATGATGAGAATCACCTGGTGGAGTTGTTAAAATACAGATTCCTGAATCCCAACTAAGAAGTGCTAAACTAGAATTTTGGGGAACATATAGGTAAAATTGTATACTTAACTAGTGCTCACTAAGTTTAAGTATAGGTAAAATTGTATACTTAACTAGTGCTCACTAAGTTTAAGTATAGGTAAAATTGTATACTTAACTAGTGCTCACTAAGTTAAGTATACAATTTTACCTATATGTTCCCAGAAATTCTAGTTTAGCACTTCTTAGTTGGGATTCAGGAATCTGTATTTTAACAACTCCACCAGGTGATTCTCATCATGAGAGAAGTTTGGGAAACACTGTCTTTGGAGACTTGATAAGCAGTTCACTGATAGGTTACTTACTTGAGAAACTGACAGTAAGATATACGTATCTAACTGTTGTTTCAAATATAGCATTGAAAGGAGACTGCTTGGATGAGAGAAATGGAATAGAGAGTCTGGGTATGAAATTAGTAACTCCATTAACAGAATTGAAGTCTATTAAAGATTATCTTTCCACACTGACAATCATTCCCATCACTTCCTGTTATCAAGCAGAGTTAAGTCCCTCAGCAGCAGGGGTGATTTCTTTTTTTACTATATTTTGTTCATTGTGTTTTAACAGTAGGTAGGAACTGAATTTACATCTAAGTTCTTGGTAAGGGAAAATCCTGAATAAGATTTTAGCAGATGGAAATTCATCTAAGCCTGAATGGATCATTAAAAGAAGCAAGCCTGGATATTCAACAAAAAGCAGCTGCACACTGTTATTAGCAGGTTGTTAATGTTTCCTATGAAAGAACAGGTCCACCTCTGAAGATTCTTTGGGGGTGATTTAGTAGCTATTCCTTACACCCATTGAACTATAATAGCGCTCCTTCTCTCCCTTCCTTCCTCCCTCCCTCCATCTTTCCAGATAAACTTGAGGTATGTCTTTCTTTATTTCCAGTGTATCAAATTCTGGGCCCAGACCAACACAAATGACACTTGTCCCTTTTGCCCAACTCCTAAATGATGGACCTGATTGGGAGGAAGAAGAGAAGCTGATGTGAACAGGAAGCGCGGGTTCAAGATTTCTAAAACTCTATATTTATACAGTGACGTATACTCATGCCATGTACATTTTTATTATATAGGTAATGTGTGTATAGAAAGTCTGTATTCAATGTTCGTAAATGAAAGTGTGTATATTATGCAAAAATGGTCTGTCCCCCTCAGCTTGCAGTTCCTTGAGGGGGATGTAGATGGTAGCTAAGATGATATTTAGTTTGGTCTTGAAATTATGATATTCCTGCCTAAGCTGTTTTCAAATATAAAAACCAGTGGGAAGCTGCTGTGGCTCTAAGGCTATCCTGCTTTGATTGGCTCAACCACTAGTCCATTTTCCTAAGGTTCTGTGTGCAGATTTGAACCTGGTGCTCGCCCTCTGTCTGGCTGGATGCCTGAAAGCCTTTGGAAGCCTTGGTGTCCTAGCAACTCTCTCCAAATGGATGAAATGAGACTGATTGAGGAAAAAAATGTAACCCTAATAGTTTGTGTTTTCATTGAGTATTTTACTGTGTTAATGCTTATGTTTTGTACATAGGCTTTAGCTTTACCGAATATTCTATTCCACAACAGCAAAATTCACAGCCCAAGAGTAACAACACAACCAGGTCCCAGTACCCACGCCCTCACAAGCTTCTGTTCACCCCATTTCCTCAACAGTTGTCTCTTCAGAAACTAGCACAATCTGAAGGTCTTCTCTGGAAGCCACCCCTCCAGCCTTACAAAGGCCTCCCTCTTCCCTTCCTTCTGGTCTTCTCGTCTGGCTGACCCTCCCTCTGAAGGTTAAGGCAGTCGTTCACTGCCAAGTTGTTTGATGACCTTGGATGAGCTCCAGGCAGGCACGGTTGAGGAGGGAAGGCTGTGCAAAATTATTTTCAGAGTGATCTTGGGATGTGGGCTTTAATCTTTGAAGCAAGATAGCTATGGGGACACGTGTCCTGCCCCGGGGAAGATGGAGACCCCAGGGCTGGGAAGAGAGGTGGGTTTGAGGTTGAATAGTCATGTATTCTCTGGGTAGCCACCCAGAACCAGATCAGTGTTCCCCTTTGCCACTGAGCTTTTCTGGCTTGCACCCCCGAAACCCTGGATCTCTGTTAGAGCTTTCATATCCTCTTATCTTTACTCTTATCAGAAGTGGCTTCACCACTCTTCTCTTTGGAATTAAACAACTAAAAACTAAGTGTTAATTGTTTAAAAATAGCCCAAGGGGGAGGAGATTATTAGATCACCAGCAGCTGAATGTTTTTCACTCTGGGACCTGGAAGTGCTCGCAGCAGTGCACTAGGCGGGCAGAGCCCTCTCTTTGCACATCCATCTAAGTTCTCTCCTCCCCATTCCTGCTCATGGCATACTCTTTCTCTTCTCTGACTGCCCGGTTTGTTAACCTGCATTAGTGTGAGGAGCTAGAGTTCTCAAGAGCTCCTAGGCATCTTGTAGGTCACTGAGATGGCCTGATACGCCCCTCTGCAGAGGTCAGATAACCTGCTTTCCTTGGCTGATGGGACTTGCATGTCTCGGGTGCTGTAGCTGTCAGTAAGGGAAGGTGCCAATGGAAGACTAGCTCCTTTGTTTTTTCCCTTTGTGTGTGTGCGTGGCGGGGAGGGGGAGTGTGTGTGTCATTTTCATCTTATCTCCACTCAACTTAGAAGCAGCCCGTGGCCACCTGCAGTGTTTTTCAGGAGGTATAAAGAATGCCCTGCTTCTTTCCCACAAATCTTTGAAGCCAAAGGAGGGAGTAAGGGGCTTAACTGCTTCCTGGGAGAAACCCTGGAAAGCCATCTGTAGCTGGAGGACAGTGTGGGAGAGGTGTGCATGAGCCTGGGGCCGCATCACTGCTCTCTTCTTAGTCAGGGCCAGCCAGAAAGCAGCCTGGGTCTGGGCCAGCCTCGTTCTCCCTCGTCTGTTGGCCCGCAGTGCTAAAGCCATGCACACCGACGGGAAAGGCCCAGCGCAGTGAGGAGAGATGGGACAGTCATTGTTCTGGAGTAGATTTAAAAATAGAGATATAGAATACATATTTTTACAAGCAAGAAGCTGTTGTCAAAAAAGTTCTTTTTACACTTGTTTGTAGTTCCAGGATAGAAAGGAAGTTACTCTTAAAAGAGAGCCCATGTTTTCTCTGAAAGGAAAGGAGGACAGTGGGGCTTACTGATGAAGGGGCTAACTTGTATGCCCTGGAAAGAGCTGGGGGAAAGCCATTTCCCCCCAACATGGGTAGAAAGCATAAAGCAGAAGGTGGCCTTTTATTTCACGATAACAATTCTGGAAGTTTATTTACACAGTAAGTTCCGAGCTGGAAGCGGACAGTCTCCAGTCTTCCTGTCAGTCTGTGGTTCTGGGTGTTCCCATCAGCCAAGCAGCACCAGGTGCAGGGGAATGAAGAGTCCGGGTAAAAACTACGACTCGGTGTTCTTGATTTATTGTATGGCTTGTGGCAGCTGGGTGAAGCCAGGGTTCCAGAGCCCTCCTGTGGGTCCCTCTCCCTCAGGTAATTCACACTCAGCCCGCCCTCACCTGGAAGCAGAGCGCAGACTGCAGAGGAATGAGGTCCCGTGGTACACCGGGAAAATCTGCTCTTTCCACCAACACTGGTACCATAGTTGACGGTGTTAGAACGGATAGGAAATGAGCTTCGTCCCCAGGACTTAGCGCGAGAACTAACCTGGTACCCAGTACTGTTAGGAGCGGGGAGTGGAGAGCAGGACAGGAGAGAAGGATGGGTGCATCGTGGGGCTCTTGTGGAAAAGGAAGGCAGGAAGCCGAGGCCCCGTCCTTTCTCCAGGCGGCTGGACCCTGAAGGTGACGGTGCTGTAGGCAGCGGGCCCTGTGTTCTAACACTCTGGCTCCAGTACTTGTGCCACTGGTGGTGCCTTAGCCACATAGGTGGCGGCTGAGACCTCGGGGTGGGAAGGCAATGGGACGGCTCTGCGTTATGTAAAGATCCGACAGCTGAACAGGAAGCACTCAGGCGGGCGAAAGGCATCGCCCCTGTGCCTGTGAGAGGAATCTTAGGATTCTGCTTTCCAGGATTGTTAGGGAGGAGAGTTCTGTCTCTTCTTAGCACCTCAGCTGCAGAGCTCCGAGGCCTTGGGCTTGTGGGAGGGAGTGAAGAGGTGCCCCGGAAGCCGAGGCCAGCCTCGCGCGGTTGCTGGGTTCCCATTGCTTTCCCCGAGGACGCCGGGGGTTGGGAGGGCTGGGATGTTACTCGGCTGTTGAGCGTTTATAGAGCACAGCGTCCAGGGAGAGACAAGTGGAGTCAATAAGGTAGACTTTCATTGTTAGATGGAACGTCATAGTGGACATGAATTTAAGAGCTAAAAGAGCTTTTTGGCAAATAAGCCCTTCTTCCCACCCCCCTTTTGATAGGCTGCACCCACAGCGGAGAAAACTGGGAAGCAACACCTGTGTACGAAAGGGTGCTGCTTGGAGGTGGAGTCTAAAATGGGAGCTGGCGGTGGCCTTTCTACCTCCTGGCTTCGATCCCAGTGTCCCCTGTCTTCACTCTCTTCCTCTCCCAACCATTTGTACAAATAGGTTATTTTTTGTTTAATTCAAGAGGCAGTCTTTGCACCAATGTTAAGCTCATTGATACAATTCTTATCTCTAAAGCAAAGCTAACTGCATTTGCTCCTACTGCCTTGGGCCAGCAGGCAAGCAAGGCTGGGCCCTGCGGACACCCAGGGGTGACCGGTGGAATGCCCCCATTCTGGAACTAAGGAAAGAGGAATGCTTTGGGTGGAGGGTTGGAAGGGATGGTAGGCAAAGATCAGGGCTGAAGTTTCAAGCAGCAGAATTTCTCAATCAAGTTTGAGGTGACATCTTCCTGCCACCAGAGCATGTCTTCCCTGTCCTGTTTCCTGCGGGTGCAGTCCCTGCAGCCCACCTTGCCAGCTCCTCCTCCTCTGTCAAGCAGAGGCATCGGTGGGGTAAGGGTCCTGAGGCGCTCTGGCCACAGGTGCCATCGCTCTTTGTGACCAAATCGAACCAACCACCCAGATGGTCCAGGAGACGCTCTGTCCTCTGCTCATGGGCCTCCTCACTTCAGCAGGGAGATGTCGTCAGCAAAGTCATCGTGCTGGTGGCGCAGGCAGCGGAGGCAGCGCCACTGGCACACCATGAGGCAGAGTGGCAGCATGAAGAGGGCACAGATGGCGGCCATGACGTAGGCTATGGTCATGAGGGTTGACTCGTCTGTCTGGGGGATGTTGTAGCCACAGTCCATCATGTCCAGGGTGACAAACGGCCCTTCCACCGCCGCCGTCCGGAACTCGTCATGCACTGGAGAGAGGGCAGAAGTGAGCAGCAGGTCAGTGTCACACCGCAGTTTGGATTAGGCAAGAAAAGGGACTTCCCGACCGGCCTTGAAATGGGCCCGAGGAGGCTGTAGAAAGCAGTGCCAGCTGGAGGCACAGCTCCTCCAGGCCCCAGGGAACAGCGGCCTTTTTGTTAATCCTCACTCGATATTTTTTCCATTTTTTTTAGAGGAGAAGGGGGAGGGAGGGAGGGAGAAACATCAATGTGAGAGACACCTGAATTGGCTATCTCCCACACATGCCTTGACTGGGACTGGGAATCAAACCTATGACCCTTTGGTGTATGGGCCAGTGCTCTAACCATTGAGCGCACACTAGCCAGGCACCTACTACATTCTGAAATGGCATTTAAGCTCCCCTCTGGCAGGCGGCAGGACACTGTAGGCTCAGCCTGCTGCCCTTGGATCTTGAGCTCCTCCAGGTGCCCACCAGCTCTTGCTATCCCTGGCGTCCAGCAGAGGCTCCCAAGCAGGCAGGGTCACCATGCCAGGCAGTGGGAAGCTTAGGCGCTCACTCTGGCTCGAGGCAACTGTTCCTCCCAGACTGGCGGGGCTCGGATCATGGAGCACGTGGATAGCCTGACCTGCACCCTGGCACTCACCATGGCAAGCACTGACAGCAAAGCCGATCCGCTTTCTCGCCCGATCAAAGACCACGTAGAAGCCCTCCATGACGACAGCTCCCAGCACAGTGCCCGTGGACGACTGGGAGACGGCGAACTTGTAGCAGTCGTCTTGGGACGTGGCCACGTCCTCCACTGGCCGCAGGTATTGCTACGGACAAGGAGTCAAAGCGTCAGTGTGTCTTCCTCACTCACCATCCTCACACCCTTCCCCCCCGCCCCACCTTCCAGGCGGCTGTGTCCTTAGGCCGCTCTTCCCATGGGCAGCCCTGCTTTTCCAAGAGCCCTTCACCCCTGGACCCTCATCTACGCCTTCCAAGTTCTGGGAAGCCTGGACTGAGCATCTCCCTGCATGTGCTGTCTCCTGGGCCCGCGCCTCGGGAGGGACGCACCTGTGGCAGAATGGTGATGCGGAAGGACTGGTTGGTGACCTCGCTCATCAGGTAGAGTGATATGACCGGGAAGATGTTCCAGGGGGTGGTGCCCGCCTGCCAGCACACCAGCTGCTCCCCCAGCCAAAAGCCGTCCGGGAACTTCTCCGTCTGCCAGGGCAGGGAGGGAGGCCGTGAGGACAGCCCCTCCCTGCCACCCTCTCGCCTCCCATCCTCAGCTCACACCCACTGGCCTTTGCCTGCCTTTCTTGGAGTATCCAAACGGGAAGGTCCATCAGAACCCAAGAATGGGGGAAGAGGAGGGCACAACATGTGGTACAAGGGGGATTGTGTGACCGGCAAACGCCCACAAAAGAGTCTAAGTAGAAGGTTCTGAGGGGGACACTTGGCTCTTGGAGAAGGTGACTCAGCAGACTCCCTCGGACTCGTCACCTCTGTACCCCTGACTCATCCACTGACCGAGGAGGCGGCCTTGATGGATTTGACCGCAGCTTCAAACACTTTCTTGGGCAAACGGAGGTTGGTGGTGCCACTGTCCACGATGCTCTTATCATAGTTGTACTGAGGGGAGAAGAGAGAGCGCTCAGGAGCTGCTTGCGATGCCAGGCCCTGGCCAGACTCAGAGGGTTAGTCTGACTGCAGTGCTGCCTGGGTTGGCATCCTGGCTTTGCCACTTCTTAGGAGTATATCCTCGGGCAAGTTACTTCAGTGGCTCAGTTTCCCCATTTTGAAGGATAATAACAGTACCTACCTCACAGTTATAAGGATTAAATAATTAAATATATTCAAAGAGCTTACAATGGTCCGGGCCCACAGGGAGCATCCAGTAAATGTTAACTCTTACTATCTTGGGTGTAAAGATGTTCTCCAAATCTTGAAAATAAAAGTATCTCATATGGTGGTTTCAATTTTTCATAATCCTTTTATATCTATCTGAATTGAGCACGCACTGAGAGCCTAAAGGAGGGAGACCACGGCTTAGCTGCAGTCTCCTGGCCTCTGCTCTGTGCCGGGTCCTGGGATGGACCCTGTTCACTCTATGTCTTCGCCACAATCCGCAAGCGCTGTTCTTACCTCTTTTGCAGAGGAAAAAGCCCAGCAGTAACTTCCTAAGGGCAGGGACTTGCTAAGGGCAGCGCCAGAACCCAGAGCTGGACTCTTGTTCACATCATATCGCACTGCCTTACAAACCAGGCCTGAAGGGCCGGGCGCCTTTAGCCTCACTCGGTCCATGCCAGGCGGTCTCTGTGAATGCCCTGCATCCCCGCCCCGGAGTCCTGGTCCTGCTGTGGCACCAGTGCTCCTGACTCTAGGTTCAGCCCATAACCCAGGGTCTGACCTCGCCCTGTGTCGCCACACCCTGTTCCTCGCCCTGGTGCCCCCTTGCTTGTCTTACCTCCTTGCAGTCCATTTTCAGGTCCTGTCCATTGATCTCCACCCGCACGATGATCACCTCATAATACCACTCCCGTCGGATGGGTGTGTACCAGAGGCTGCCCGTGTATAGTGAGGGGTCAATACCCCCAATGATCTAGGGAGAAAAAGGCAGGTACCTGAGTCCCAGTACGAAGGGCAGCAAGTCACCCTAAAAGCAATCGAAGAACCAGGAATTTCTGGGAGTGGCAAGGTCCTCCACAGACCACTTTTAATGGAATCATGCCTCAGAGTGACATAGTTTAAAATGTATTAATGTGTTCATGGCCCTGGCTGGTTTGGCTCAGTGGATAGAGCATTGACTGTGGACTGGAAGGTCCCAGGTTCGATCCCAGTCAGCCCACATGCTCGGGTTGCAAGCTCGATCCCAGCCAATCAGTGATTCTCACCATTGATGTTTCTATCTCTCCCTCTCTGGAATAAAAAAAGAAAAGAAAAAAGAATGTGTTTATGCCCGGTAGTGTGGCTCAGTGGTAGAGCATCAATCTAAGAACCAGGGCACATGCCTGGGGTTTTAGACTAGATCCTCAGTAGGGGGCGTGCAAGAGGCAGCCAACAGATGATTCTGCCATCATCATTGATGTTACTTTCTCCCTCTCCCTCTCTCTGAAATCAATAAAAACATTGAAAAAGCAATATCAAAACAGAATGTGTTCAGGGGAAGAGGCTTTCTAGGAGTTTTAATAATTTGTTTCAGAATCACAGCCCTTGAGATGAAGTTATTTAAACCTAAACTGGCACAGTATGTGTTGAATGAATGATTATTTGCTTCTATAAATTTTATTTTTTTCTGCTTGGAAAACCATTCACCAGTTTGTCCTAATTAATAAATAGATTTTTAAACTTTTTTACATCTCTGCCTTTTAGACTTTTTTATGTCTCTGCCTTATCATCATACTGAATAATCTTACTCCAGTAGGTTTTATTTCCCTTTCCTTCGAAACCTAATCATCTCTGATTCTTTCCAGGTTTACTTGACTTGAGTAATGCCGGGAAGACAGGATGGACAGAGAGTGGGGTGTAGATACGAAGCAGCAGAGCCCAAGACTGGAAGGGAGGCAGATGGTACCCATCTCTAGCCAGTGCCAGGACCTCTCTCCCCCAGGACCTACTCACCATGCTCCCTCCAACTGAGGCCAGCACTTCCGACTGGTTGGGGGAGAAGCCGGCGCCGCACAGCTGCAGGGAGAAGAGGTTGGGCACGTGGGTCTGCTTCACCAGCGAGTCAAAGAAGGGCTCCAGGGAGTCGTCGGGCTGTGGCGGAAAGAGACGGGAGGGATTCTCACAGGCCAGCTTCTGGCCGACACCGGCGGGATGGCCAGATGGGATGTTCCTCGGGAAAGACGTCTTGAGGTATTGGGGTTGGGTGGAGAGGGCTAGCAGCAGGCACGCCATGCAAACAGGAAGTTCTGAGGGCCCACAGATCTATGGGGTCCCCAGGAGCCCATCAGGGTTCGGGGGCCTCTTATTCGAAAAGATCGTAGAGTCTGCTCTGCCAGTGGCGACGTCTCATGCTCTAGTTCTGCCTTCTACCTGGATGCGATTCACACTCCCTTCAGACAGATGCTCCCCTCCTCAGCTAGTTCCCTCCCTTCCCTGTCCCCAGTCCGCCCCGGGAACAAGCAGTGTGCCGACACGCCATCCAGACACGCTGTCCAGAGCTCGGCCGGTCCCACTCACCCTGGCGATCTCAGCATAGGCCAGCCCCAGGATGCCTTCCCAGTTGGAGCCATTGATGAAGAACTTGTCTGACTCCGTAATGGCGGCAATGTTGGCACGTACAGTGACATTGGGGCCGTGGGGGATGCTCACCAGGTCGGTGCCCAGCTCCCCCTCCCACTTGCCCTGGGTGTAGGGCACATACACGCCCTTGCGGAGGTCCCGGTATGTGCTGGACCTGTGAAAACGGAGGCGGAGCTCTGTGGGTTGTGACCACAGCTGTACAGGGGTCCGGCAGCAAAGCAACTCCCAGCCGCCTGGCTTACCGCAGGGGCATTCTAGGTAAATGCTTCCAGCTGCTCACCAGACTCTGGGGAAACCCACCACCCAGAACGGTGTAAAGCGACCTGGCAAACAGATGAGAGAGCTACTCCTGGGCCTGCTCTCCTGTCCCCGTGGCTCACACTGCTGGGGCCTCCCGTCCCCGTGGCTCACACTGCTGGGCCCTCCCGTCCCCGTGGCTCACACTGCTGGGCCCTCCCTTCCCCGTGACTCTCACTGCTGGGCCCTCCTGTCCCCGTGGCTCACACTGCTGGGCCCTCCCTTCCCCGTGACTCTCACTGCTGGGCCCTTCTGTCCCCGTGGCTCACACTGCTGGATGTGGAGCTCAGCCCGGAGCAGAACAGTCCAGGCTTTGTGTATTGTACTTGCTGCTGCTGCAGGGACAGCTAGTGGCATCTCCTCCCCACCTACCCCGGCTCCGTCAGCTCCCAGAGAAAGGGAGCCATTGATTCTCCCGCTGCCTTGGGATCCAGCAGTGCCATCCGAGTGGCAGACCAAGTGCCACGGGGTGGATTGGAGCCTCTGCAACAAGTTTGTCCAGAGGAGGGGTTGGCACAGCATCTCAGCCCAGCATGGAGGTTACACACACCCTACATATGGGGAACATGCCCATCAACACCGCTACCTGGATGTAAACGCACCGCGGATCAGGGCGTGTGTGAATGTGATGGAGGACAGGACAGGCCTGGGACAAGAACCTACACGAGTTCCCTTCCATTGACCCTCAGGCCGTGCGCCCTGACGGCTTTCTCCAGACGGGGAGCGGAGGGGAGGCCGCAGTGGGGAGGTGGCTTTGGCATCTTCCTGGAAGTCCGCGAATGGAATTGAAGCCTCTGCTCGCTCACAGATGCATCAGACACCCATGTCCTGCTTCTACGATCCCTCTCGGCCTCTCTTAAAACCCCACTGCGACCCTCCCTCCCACCCGGTGTCTAGATCCCAGCGCCGGCCCTTGGGCTGATGGGGAGGAGGCAGTCCAGCCCACAGTCCTGACACTGGTCCAGGCAGTAGGGTTTCTGGAAGGCTCGCTCTCCACTCCCGTGAACTGTGCAAAGCCATCGAGAGTGACCCCCTGCGAGAACACCGCAGCGAGCTCACTGCAGCCTGCTCACCCCAGACTCGATGGGTTGCCCTGAAACCGAGATGGGAGCTGTGGAGAGAGAGGGACCCTGGGCTTGCTCGGAGCTTATTCTCCCGCTCAGGAGGCTGCCTGCTCTCCACCCCGAAGAGCTTCCTGGCTGCCTCTCCACTTACCCTTTCCCGCACACCCCTCAAACCCACACCCACTCTGCTGTCCTGCAGGAAGGGTCCCAGGATCCTCTCTCCCCGCAGCACCCTTTTTTCTTGGACCCCTGGCCCCGCACCGGGGGCGGCTCTCCCCTCCGGCTCCCGGACTCACAGCTGCCTCTGGTAGTAGCGGTGCAGGAACGGGTGGGGCGCGGCCCCCACGGCGAAGTTGCTGCTGCCCGTGTCCACCAGGATGTTGAGCTGCGGGAGAGGGGAGAGGAGGGTTACCAACGGGGCTCTGACTCCCCGCTCGGCCTCCTGCAGGATGGCCATCCTCAGTGCAGTGTCCGCCAGGCAGGCCGGGGCAGGTGGCAGCCCCACAGGACAGGGGTGTCTCTGCCTTCCCTGGAGCAGCATGGCACTTTCTGTGTCAGTAGAGCCACAGTGTGTGGGGGGGTGTTGTCTGATCCCATCTCCCCTCGGCCTGCCTCCCCGACTCTGCCCTGACCACTCTGTCTTCAGAGCTTGCCCCTCCTTCCTCTCTGGTTCTCCGAAGAAGTGCGCCCCCTGCGGGCCGCCTGGCTGGGCCCCGCCAGCTGTCCTACCAGCTGGCACCAACGAAGGGAGCGAGGGGCCTCCTGTGGCACGTGATGGCCACGTGTGTTAGACACGGCTCCACAGAGGCCCCCTCTGACAGAGGCGACACAGACCTGACCACTCTCAGAAACGGTGGGAGTCGGGAGCCAGACTCAGCCACCTCCACGGGCCCTGCTGGGGCTGGTGAACACGGCCAGGTGTCTGGTGTCCCTGGCTGTGCGGCCTGCTGGCATCTCTTCTGCCTGTCCCTCCCTCCCTCATCCTTGATGGCCTGCCTGACCCCTACCTTCTTCGGCAGCCTCCCTGTCACTCCCTGGCTGGAGCGAGCGGCGGCCGCCCAGAGCTGGTGCATGTCCACCGTATCCCGCGGGCAGAGAGGGCAGGCCTGGCTTCGGAAATACGTCCTCTGAGGAGCGAGCCCTCTTGCCAACATGCCACGTGCACCCCTCAGCTCCGCCCTGACCTCTGGCCCCTTGTACCCTCCCTCCTCAGCCCGTGAAGTCAGCTGCCTTGGGTTTGGTGCAGGTTCTGACCTTGCCCACTCAGGAGGTCCCTGCGCTTCCCTGGCTCCGGCTGCCTCCTCTGCCCACTCCTTCCTGCTCTCCGTGGGCCTCTGTGGTCCTCTGACCCGGTCCCCGCCGAGCCTGCTCAGCCTCCTGGGGGGAGCCCCTGCTCTGGCCGCCGGGCCTCTGATCCTGCTGGGGGTCCTGCTGGGCCCTCTCCCGGCCTGGCTCCCATGTTCCTCTGCCGACCCCCCCGACCCCGGCTTCTCCTGCCCCCTCCCTGGTCTCCCAGCACCAGCTCCAGACGCCAGGCTCCCAGAGGATCCACAGAGCCTGGGGCTCAGAGCTGCCATGTCAGCCGGATAGCACTAAGCCACTCCTCACCCCCACTGCCCCCTGCGGGCCCTGCTCCCAGCACTGTGAGTGCGGCCGCAGGTGGCAGGGATCCTGCTTGCATGGGGCCCCAAAGGAAGAGGCGCCCCACAGCCCAGGACCCCATGGCTCTGCGGGCTCAGTGGCCTGGGATGTGCGCCTGGCTGACCCAGGAAAACGGGCCCACATGCTACACCACAGAGCTCTATCGGGGGCTCCATCCCCGCCGTTCCAGAGCTCCCCTTCCCACCGCAGGCCACCCCCAGCCTCTCTCCTGGTCTGAGGAGGGTCTCCCCTCTCACCTCAAAGGGGTCCCGCCCTCCCTGCTCTGTGGCTCGCTCTCCACCCGCATGAGAACATGGGGCCGTAACAAGCAGGCGAATTTCTCTCCATACGCGGTGGGCCGTCTGGCTGCCCTCGCAGTGCGGTCCTGCCCGGGAGAGGGTCTCCGGTCCTCAGGCATCGCCAGCGAAGCTTCGCACTGAGCCCACACTCACCGGGGAGCAGGCAGGCAGGGCCAGGCCAGCGCGGGGAGGGCAACCAGCCTCTGTGCCCGCAGCCGGGCCTCCACCCTGCCCCAGCAGCCTCTGTGCCCGCAGCCGGGCCTCCACCCCTGCCCCAGCAGCCTCTGTGCCCGCAGCCCGGCCTCCACCCCTGCCCCTGCAGCCCGGCCCCTGCAGCCCGGCCCCCACCCCTGCCCCTGCAGCCCGGCCTCCACCCCTGCCCCTGCAGCCCGGCCCCTGCAGCCCGGCCCCCACCCCTGCCCCAGCAGCCTGGCCTCCACCCCTGCCCCTGCGGCCGGGCCTCCACCCTGCCCCAGCAGCCTGGCCTCCACCCTGCCCCAGCACCTGGGCCTCCACTCTGCCCCAGCAGCCTGGCCTCCACCCTGCCCCAGCAGCCTCTGTGCCCGCAGCCTGGCCTCCACCCCTGCCCCAGCCTCCACCCTTGCCCCAGCAGCCTCTGTGCCCACAGCTGGCCTCCACCCCTGCCCCAGCAGCCGGGCCTCCACTCCTGCCCCAGCAGCCTGGCCTCCACCCCTGACCCAGCCTCCACCCCTGCCCCAGCAGCCTCTGTGCCCGCAGCCCGGCCTCCACCCCTGCCCCTGCAGCCCGGCCTCCACCCCTGCCCCTGCAGCCCGGCCCCTGCAGCCCGGCCCCCACCCCTGCCCCAGCAGCCTGGCCTCCACCCCTGCCCCTGCGGCCGGGCCTCCACCCTGCCCCAGCAGCCTGGCCTCCACCCTGCCCCAGCACCTGGGCCTCAACTCTGCCCCAGCAGCCTGGCCTCCACCCTGCCCCAGCAGCCTCTGTGCCCGCAGCCTGGCCTCCACCCCTGCCCCAGCCTCCACCCTTGCCCCAGCAGCCTCTGTGCCCACAGCTGGCCTCCACCCCTGCCCCAGCAGCCGGGCCTCCACTCCTGCCCCAGCAGCCTGGCCTCCACCCCTGACCCAGCCTCCACCCCTGCCCCAGCAGCCTCTGTGCCCGCAGCCCGGCCTCCACCCCTGCCCCTGCAGCCCGGCCTCCACCCCTGCCCCTGCAGCCCGGCCCCTGCAGCCCGGCCCCCACCCCTGCCCCAGCAGCCTGGCCTCCACCCCTGCCCCTGCGGCCGGGCCTCCACCCTGCCCCAGCAGCCTGGCCTCCACCCTGCCCCAGCACCTGGGCCTCAACTCTGCCCCAGCAGCCTGGCCTCCACCCTGCCCCAGCAGCCTCAGTGCCTGCGGGCTTCCTGTCCTCTCAGCTGCCCCTCCTCCTGTAGCATGGGGCCTGCTCCCTCCTTGCTCCTCAGAACCCCGCCCCCATCACTATCCCAGTCTCAGGGCCCACCCTGAATCCGGAGTCTTCCTATTGGCACTTACAAATGCTTTAGTCTGTATGTTTTATTAAATCATTTAAATCTCACATCCGCCCCCAGCTCCCTCCTCTCCGCTCTCCCCTCACAACCACAGTCACCAGCCAAGCTGTCTTGGTTTTCCACCTCCACCCCTCCTCGCCCATTCTAAAACGGGATCTGGCCGCCACCCCTCCTCCACCACGAACAGCCCGTAGTCACCACGACTTCGGGCCACCGAATGCTGGACACACTTCCCAACCAGCTTCTGGGCAACAGTCAGCACCGCTGACCTCTCCTGCTTGTCACCCCGCCCCACACGCACCCCGTGCCTGCCCCTCACTCTTCCCTCCACGCTCCCCGCCGAGCTCTGTCTGCTGTGCAGGCTCGCTTCTCAAGGCTTGCCTGTGGACCTTCCTCCCTGCTGCTCGCTCTCTCTCTCTCTCTCTCTCTCTCTCCTCAGCTTATATCCCTAGGTTCCCCACCCCCTCCTCAGAGCTCCAGAAGCACACATCAGCTGCCTCAGAGGCACCGGAAAGTGGGGTGTCCCAGCTGACCTTGGCGGGCCTGCACATCAGTGTTCTCCCGGTGTTCCCCGTATTAGCAAATGGCACCCAACCACCTCTTCCCTCAGCCAGCGGCCTCAGGGCCACCTAACGCCGTGCTCCCCCTCGCCATCCCAGCCGGTCCTGCGCAGGCAGCTGTCTTAGTCTCCGCACTTACTCACTGCTGCCATCTGCCCTGCCATCTGCCCTGCCACTGAGGCCACGCTCTGCTCAGGTCACCCCGGAACACGCCTGGTCAGAGCACAGCCTTCCTGCACCTCTCCGTCTGCGTGTGCGCCGGCATCTCTTCAAGCGCACATCTGCCCGGCTAGCCCTCCGGTGTCAGCGGTTCCCTTGCTATTAAAGGAAAAGTTCAGCCCGGCCGGCATGGTTCAGTGGGTGAGCGTCGACCTATGAACCAGGAGGTCATGGTTCGATTCCTGGCCAGGGCACAGGCCAGGGTTGTGGGCTCGATCCCCAGTAGGAGGCGTGCAGGAGGCAGCTGATTGATAACTCTCTCTCATCATTGCTGCTTCTTTCTTTCTCCCTCTCCCTTCCTTTTTGAAATCAATAGGACATATATTAAAAAAAAAAAAAAAAAAGCAAAGTTTAAAGCACTAACGCTTCAGAAGCCCTTCATGAGCCAGTGCTGCCTACGGATCCATGTAGCTTGTCCTGGACTCGCCAAGCCCCTGCTCCTTGCCACTCTGACCTCTTTTCAGGGCCTCAGACCTTTCTCCCCTCCCCCTCCAGCTCTGTCGACTCCCCTCCTGAGACCCTTCAGCTTGAGCTCCAAAGAGACTTCCTGAGGGAGAAAGACCAGGCCATACTGTCTGGCTAGAATGCTTCCATAGAACTTGGCGCTGTGGTTTCACACGGACCCCCTCCTCCCTGGGCATCACAGGGCCTGGCCATGCCGATTGCTGGAGTTAACAAGCGGCTAAAGGAAAACGAATGGGAAGAGCCCCCCTGCCCTCTGTTTGGGTGCGGAGGGCACCCCTCAGTGGACTCCCAAACAAGAGGAGTTTTTAGGTTGTAGGTGTGGCTCTAACTCACCAGGTGCCCGGCTTTGACACAGGATGTCCGACTTCTTCCCCATCCCCATCCGCAGCTCCTCCCTGTGGATGCAGTGGGACCGCAGCCTGGGGGTCAGGGCCAGGTCAGTGCCAATTACTTCACAAACACGGGTGCCCCTGGGGCGTCTGGAAGGCAGCTCCGTGGAGGTGCTAACAAGCCCCACAGGGAAAGGTGCCTCTGCAGGTGAGGCCCGGGGGACCATGAGGAGGTACCGAGCTGGTGAGTTCAGGTAAGCCTGTTCTCCAAGTCCCAGCTGCCTTGGCCCAACGCTAGCAGACCGTGAGCTCAGATACTTCTGGATAAAAAGAGACTCCAGGAGCCGTCTGTCCGTTAGCTGGAGGGC